AGAAAAACTTTTAAGATCTGTAGTAAAATAATAATGTATATTGATGCATGAAATAGCTAATATTTTACTGTAGGATATTAGCTACAAAAATAAATACAAGTCTGTACTTTATTTAATGTGTATCTAAAGCTTTTTTTTTGGTTAGAGTGGAAAGAGTAAGAATCATTTGTGACCCCGAGATTTGCTCTTTTTGTCCCGGTGACCTCTGTCACAACACTGAAAGTGAGGAAAGTTTAAAAATTTGAGTTGCCACCAGAACAGGAATAGAATAGAATAGTACCACACTTCTTAATTTTCCAAGATATTTATGAAGGAACTGTTGCTCCCAAGTCTTAAGTATTGTCACACAGGGGGAAGAATTTTGCTCTTCAATACTCGAAAGAAGTACTTTATTAGCCCAACAGAGCAAGGGATCTTATGGTAAGCAGCAAAGTAGCATTATTTGGTGTGTATGTTTTGGTGGGAAATGTGGTAGTGGAGGGCTCAGGTGCGCTATCGAGAGGCACAGTCATTTTATTCATTTAGAGCAATGTCTTATTGTGGACTTTCTAAAAACTATAATATTGACAATGGTGCAATGTACCAGTAAGATACTGCCTGACAAGTACATGTTTTCCATTAAATAATTTTTAAATCCTAGTAGCCATATTCTGATATATTAGTTTGTTTATGTTTTAATGTCCTTGTTAAATTAAATTGAGTTAAATTAAATGTCCATGACACTTAACTTGTGTGAAAATCATGCCTCTAGGATCATTAATGTCAACCTACAGAGCCTGAAACAATAACTACAGCAGCCTGTTAGAGGCTAAACCCTAGTATTCAACTTGATATAGACAATTAAAGAATATGTAAGCCCAACATTTCATTTTCCAGATATGTGCCTGCTGTACTTGCAAGAAAAGGTATCCTGATCTCTTTGTATTGCTTCCTTTGTGTGAAATCCCTGGTGTTCCTGCCAGTCCCTCTGCTTTCCTGTTAGCACACTGATCTTCCAAGTGAATGTCTTTGCAGAGAGGACGTATCAGCACAAGCCTGATCAAAGGAAGAGAGCAAGCTGAGTTCTCAACTTTTATCACTTCTACTTCCACACCTCTCTAAGAGCCTTATGCAGCTGAGAACTATGGGTATTTGACCACTTATTAAAAAAAAAGGAGGGAAAGGGTATTTATATTTTTAGTATGCATAACAAATGTTTTGCCTTTCATTTCTATTTTAAACTGAAGAGATTGTTTTACAAGGTGAGGGTTTACATATACTTTAAAGGAACAATATCATATATAATGTTTATAATGTATAAATGTAAACTTTTTGCTGTTATTCTAATTTGAGAATGCAGTCTAAAAATGATTGTGCCATTCTTGTCCATATACATAGTCTTCGTTTAACCAATTGAGGACCCTGGATGTGCTATACACACACACATAAGTACACAGGACATATCTAGCAGCTGCCTCCTAATTGCTGGCAAATCTTGGCTCTGAAATGATTCCAGAAGTTGCTGTGTACAATAAACAGATCCAGCAGCTGTTGCTATCAAAAAAAGAATTATCTATGTCATGGCAGACACTGTTCAAACATGAAGTAAAGAGATGCTGAGTAACAGGGTTACTTTTGTATCTGCTCTGCTTCATTCATCTGGTGATCAAAGAGATGAGCTTCGATCTGGAGATGTCAGTTAAAGCAACCAGACAAGTTAAGAATTTTTTTTAAATACAAATTGTCTATTTAATCTCTTATTATCCTCTAGTTTACCCTAATCCTCTCTTTATTTTGTTTGCTCATTTATTAGTGGCACATTTAAAAAAGTTCAAAAGTGAAAAAAATAATCTTTGTTTCATTTGTAAATAGCTTTGTTTCGTTTTGTACCAGAATAACAATTTTAGTGTCATTTTAAACAGGACAAATTGTAAAATAAAAAGGTACACTTTTTTTCTACAGTAACACTGTTTTAAATTAACACTGATTCAAAATAAAAAAGTGTGGTTTTTTTTTTTAGTTTTTATACTTTTTTGACTAAGATTGGCAAAAAAATTATTTTTGCAAGACAATATCATGAAAAGAAAGTCTTGTTTGTTCTAAAAAAATAACAAACAAAAAACAGATTAAAAAAATAAATATATATATATATATATATGTGTGTGTGTGTGTGTGTTTGTGTCTGTATTACTTTGTAGTAGTGACAACTGCATAAACAGGTTCACAGCAGAAATGTAAAAACTGTTCTCATTCATAGCGGTTGGACAGGTATGAAAGGGGAAGGGGGTTAAAAGCATGCCAGCCTGAAAGTTAATGTGCTTGACTATGAATACTGCTACTAGAATGACTGTTTTATAGTTCAGATTTCTTCATTAGATATGTTACTAATAAAATGCTTAACCAGTTGCCCCCTGGCCTATAGCCAGATGGCGGCTGGGCGAACAGCTCTTCCCTTCGGGTGGACGCTATTTAGCGTCCTTTCCAGAATGCACATGGCCACACTGCAGCGCGATCTGTCACTGGCCGTGTACCTCTATATGGCCGATGACAGATCTGTGTACCGACCCCTTTGCCAGTACTATGTAACCTGCTGTGACCAATCACAGCAGGTCACATGACAGTTGTATACAATGGATGGCTTCTTTTCATGCCATCCATTGTATACAAGTGTGTCTAGCTGTGAATGGTCACAGCGATCACATGCACAAGCTGGGTCAATCACTGCCCAGCTGTGTCATGTGGCCAAATCACAGCTAATCACAAAAAAAAACCCCTGAATGAATCAATTCATTCAGGTAAATGCTTGCTTATAGCAAAGAAATTCTTTGCTATAAGCAAATTGTGTAAAAGAAAAAAAAAAATATTGATCGCTTCCCCAAAGTAGTACAACGATACTATGGTAACATTATACTACTTTGGTCATAGTGCAATATGGCAAAAAAAAATTTAAAAAGGAGAAAAAAGTAATACAGAATTAAAAATAATAAAGAAAAAATTTAAAAAAAAATTTTTTTTTTTCGTACTTTCACCAGTCAGTGTCCCTGATCACCGCCATGCCAGTTATATGATGATGCTGTACTGCATTTGACAGGAAATAAAAAAAAAAATTAGTGAAAATCATTTATTTTATGTCTTCATTTTCCGAAAAGTGACAAACAAATTGCAACTTCAAAAAACTTGCCATGCCAGTTATGAAATATGTTGGACTGTTTACTTTGCAAAAAAGGGGTCATTTGGGGGATATCTGTACTGTTCTGACATTCTTAGACCTCAAGAAATTAGATTGACCGTCAGTACTTCAGGATTGATCAATTTTCAGATATATCCCATAGTTTGTGAAATCTATAACTCTCCTACAGAGTAAATAATAAGTACTAATTTGGGTTATTTTCACCAAAGAAATGTAGCAGAATACATCTTGGCATAAATTTATGAAGAATAATTTTTTATTTGCAAACTTTTATAACAATTTTTCTTCAAAATATTAAGTCTTTTTTTGTTAATTTAGCAAAAAATAAAAACCCCAGTGGTGATTAAATACCAACAAAAGAAAGCTCTACTTGTGTGAAGAAAATAATAAAATTTTAGTTTGGGTACAGTGTTGTATGACCGCGCAATTGTCATTCAAAGTGTGAGAGCACTGAAACCTGAAAATTGGCTTGGGCAGGAAGGGGGTAAATGTGCCCTGTATGGAAGTGGTTAATTGTGTTTTACAATTTCAAATTAGGCAAGAAAGGGAGTTGCAAATCCAATAAAAGCTTATCACATTTTCCATTTTGTAATAACTCACATCAACACATGTTTGGCTTGTTAGTCTTTAAAACATACAAAACATTAAAATGTTGGGTATATATGTTTGATAATTGCAAAAATGCCTGTTGATCTAGACAGAAATCTAGTGATCTTGGAACTTCCTGTTATCAGTTTGCAGCGTTGTCAGAGTTCTCAGTTCTCTATATGGCATTCTCCATATGGACTATAGAGCAAAACCCCCTACATTATGCAGATGAGGAGAGAGGTCGGTGCTGACTAGTACTATAACACTTCCTGTCCTAGAGTGATATAGATATAGTGAGTGAGCCTTGTCAAACTAGCACAAGAAGTGTGTCACTAGCAGGATCACTAGATGAAAATAACTGGAAAAAAAAAAAAGATCAATGCAACCACCAAACCTAAGAACTGGTAAGCCACAATATATTTAATGTTGTTCTTTAGTTTAGCTACACATTAATAAAGAGGTTTCTAATAATTATGAATTTATTGTAAAATGACAACAAGTGTGATGGTTAAGAAAAAATAAACCTTTCCAATGATTTTTGTTTTATTTAATGTTATTGGTCACATGACAGTATCTAATGAAGCTAATCTGAAAAATCCCTATTTTCTAAAGACGATAATAAGATTTGTTTTATATGTATGTTGTATTTTTACTATACAGGATGTCAATACAGCTTATACTTTGCGGTTTTACTTAAGCTCATGTTTACAACATAAAGGAGTCAAAACTGAATTCCAAAGATGAAATGTGAACTATTTAAGTACTTTGAAGGGGAACATAAATCAAACAAGTTTCACTGCATATTTCAAAATACATTACACCTGATTAGAAATCTGTCTCATAAAGATCCAAATTAAAATTATACTGCACTTGAAATTTTCTGCATAGATTTTGCAGGCATAAGCACAAGTTAGTGCAATCATTCATGTTAAAAATGGTATCACACTTTTCTAATTAATGTTTTTGTGTGCTTTGAATTTAAAATGTGCCTTATATTTAACTTTGGCTCAGGTTTTTCCATAATACATGCTATTTATTGTACTTGTTTTATTTAATTTAAAGAGCTTTTCTGCAAATATTGTATACAGTGTACAGAGTATTAGAATTAAAGAAATAGGACTAATAAAAAAAAATTGACTACGGAACGTGTGTTATAAAACCTTATTTCTTTTACACCCATTCCAAACTACGTTGCTTAATCATACTGTGGTAACTGTGTATTTTCCCTTATTACTATAATTCAGGGCTTGAAAAAGCAGCTCGCCCGCTTGCCAAATGCGAGGAGAAATTCTCTAGCAGTGAGCACAGATGATGGAGCGGCTGCGCTCCGAGCCTCATTGTGAAGCCGAGTTCCGGTTTCTGGCTTCTTCGGCATCACCGCTGAGGTGACAGGTGCAGGAGAGGTCTGCTATCCTCCGCTGAGAGGAGACACCCTCTCCACCACCACGGGGGACTCAAAGAGTGAGTACTGTATACATGTCACATCACTATAATGGAGTACAGGGGAGGGGGGATATACATTACTGTATACATGTCACATCACTATAATGGCGTACAGGGGAGCTGGGATATACATTACTGTATACATGTCATATCACTATAATGGAGTACAGGGGAGCTGGGATATACTGTACATTACAGTATACAGTTTTATATTTTGGACTCTTTATTCTAAAGAAAAATGTAATTTTATAAGCTTTAAGGGGGAGGGGTTGGGGGCAGGGCTGGGGACGGGCCGGGGGAGGGGTTGGAGGCGGACTTGGGCAAAGTTAGGTGGGGCAACTGGTGGAGAGTAAGGTTTGTGCCTGGTTAGTAGGTCTAGACTCGAAATTTTAAGCCCTGCTATAATTCATAGTTTTGCATGCTTGATCTTTAACACTTTTGTTGCTGTATGAAAGCATATGTAAAGTCAAACTTTCTTTTAAATCAAATTTTGTTTTTTTATTTGCTGTCTGTGTCAGGGTAAGAGGTGTACCAGAGAGTGTAAATACCAACCAACATAGATCAGAAGTACGGTCTATCCAACTACAACTAATACAACTTAGGTAGGGAGGTGTCAAGCAGTAATGGAAAGAATTCTGAAAAACAAGCAGTTTCTCCTAAGGGGTATATGTCCAACACATAAGAAATCTAAGCAAAGCACAAATAGTATCTAGCCAATTGGCAGTCAATAAATGGTCTGACACATTGGGTTAAACATGTACAACTAAGAGAAAGTCAGCATAAGTGTGGTTAACATCATGTAATGATTCCCTGTCTGTCCATGTCACTGACTCAGCACCAGAGTAAAAGGAAGTTAGCATAAATGCATTTAAAGTGTTATTGAGTAGGAAGAGAGATTGTACATACTGTGCATATTCTCAGAGGATAACTGTTAAATTGTAGGTTATTAGTAAGTTGTAAAGGGATATTTGAGCTAATGGTCATACCACAGACACAGAGATCATGTGCAATCTATAGCAGGTCTCAGACATTATATTGCAGGAAAGGTAAAGCAAGCATCGTTAAGCATACAATGAAAGAGTTAATACACTGCAAATATTTACGCTGGAACATTCTGAAGAATGTAGGGTAAATTATATATGTGAGTTGTTGATCATCTGGTGAGTAATAGCCAGTCCGGTTATGAAAGGTGATCAAGTGCATATTACTGTAAGAAGCAATAGGCATGTTCCCAGAGTCGTGAAACAGGTTTCCTTTTCATTATGGATGAGAGGTTACTTGAAAAATGTAATATTTAATCAAGTGAAACCCTGAACTAAAAACATGTTAATAGTAAGGGGGCCTCCAGAATCCATAGGGTAAGTTTGTCTCTGATGCAGCTGGTGTTATACAAGCAAAACCAGTCAGGCACTTATTTCACTGTATGGATTCTGATGGCCCCATTACCCATCCATATTAAGGAAGATATGGATTAATAAATATTTATTCTCTAATTACCTAACTATGGTTTATAGAGTAAGTTATACCTTACAATATTGGGTAGTTGACCTTTGAACTTTCAGTTCATACTTTTGCAGGATTCCTTCATCACTATATCTGGGGGGACATTTCATTGCTTATTCTGATACGTAAGGCAAGCTTTGTGGATATTAGTCTTGATGCAGAGTCTGTCTCACCTCATTGTGGAGTTCTGACCTATACACCGGACAATGTTTGTGTGAAAATCTGTTATTCTACCCATTTTACAAGTATGCAGTTTAGTTCAAGCTATGGGACTATAAATACAAGATTTATACAGGAGCCATTCATGCATACTACAGTATAGTCCCATCTGTGGACTTACGAACACCTTTTACCCCCATTTATTAGCCATGGTTGTTGGTTATTGTTCTGGATTCTCAGTCTGAATAGTAATATATGAGCTTTTTATACTTTAAATATTTTGAAGACAAGGGTATAAATCTTGATGGATGTCTGAAGTGGGCTTAGTTATACATCTGAATATGCGGTTTGTTTTCGTGAGGAGCATAGATGCTGACCAGACCTAGTGGTGTCACTTTTAATGTATTATTCTCGGCCAAGTATTGAAAATATTTTCTGTTCTTTTTCTTTTGATTACTTGAAAATGAACATTGAATTTTGTATACATGCAGTACCTATGATTATATTGTAACATTGCTTCTCTTCAGTGTTCTGTTATGCTTTATTTCCATATGGTATATGGGGATTTGTAGTCAAAGACAGGCTTTTAGTGTTTTTGGAGATTTTTGTAACTTAGAAATGCCAGTGGCTCCTCCATTGATTACTTTTTTGCACAAATGGCACCACGCCATTCTCAACCATACCAACTCCAATCATGGGAAAGATTACTCTGCTAAAAGTTCACAAATCAGCAATGAAACAATGTCTGCCCACTAGCACACAAATGTTCCATCAGTATCAACATTCAGGACATTTCTTATAAACTACTATCCAAAGGCTACCTCATACAAATTGCACAGGCTATGTCCCTCAGCATCCGATCTATGTTGTTGATAAAGGAAGTAATTCTCCACATTTGGTGGAACTGAGACCTGAAAAAATCCTCTGAGATCTCCCAAACTTTATTTGATAATACAGGCACTAACAACAAACTCTTTCCAGATCTCTGCCTCCTTCACATGAACACACATCTCTACAAAAGCCTATTCTCCTGACTCTGCAATCATAAGACACCTTTACCATTATACTGGAAATCTCCACACCAAGTTGAAGTCAGGACTGTTGCTACTGACTCTGCAAATGACCATCTAAACACATGGTCAGGCTGGTCTTTCCAAAGTATGAGAAAATACAAATCCAAAATGGTGTCAAATAACTTCACATTTCAAGTTAATACATCCCCTACCAATCATATTGCTGACAAATAACTTCTACAGTAACCTACATTATAATTCTACAGCATAGATGCAACATTTCGCACCCCATCTATAATCTACCATTCCCCTCTGCCCTTCCTTATCATCCACACAACCTATCCCCTACCCCTTCCAGGGACATTGGGGCCATCAGGAAATTTGTTCAATGCAAATAAAATTACAAACAGCCTGCATCAGTTAAATTGAAATTATTTTTTGAATGACAGAGTTAACATGCTGTCTGCAGTAGAAAACAGTTGAACTGATCATGTTTAGACATATGGTTCTAAAAAATGATGTCATGCATTTATAATAATAGCTCAATAAAATACACTCATGAAGAGTATCATAAACTGATGCTAGGCTACATTTTGTAATTTTCTTTCTAATGTACATTTTTCTAATAACGTATTTGCTTTTTATTTCTAAAAACAGCGACATCATTACAAATGGTAGGAGGCTGAATAAAGATTTTTTTCAGACTTCTTTTTTATACATATCATTAAGAAGTTCCCAAAAAGCATGCTGCACTGCTGCTAAAATGTTCTCAGGGTACATTTGTGAACGCATAAATTTAATACATGATTTTGAGATTTGTTTTCAAAGATATTGCTTGCTAAACCCTAACTATATTATACTTGATATTTACAGTTCTGATAGATTTGCCTGAAAGTGATTAAATATATATTCAGATCAGAAAAACCTGTTTAGTACTGATGTATGAGTATGGAAAGTTTTATTTTTAGCCTGGGTTTTAGAAATATAATTGGCAAGTCCTGAGAACTCAAGAAAAGAGTGACATCTATGTTAAATATGTTTCATCATCTCATTATATGACAAGTTTTCTAAATGCTAGCAGACTGCAAAATGACAGTTCTAGATTTAAAGATCTTTCCAGGTAAGGTGATGCAACAATTTGATCTTTAGTTTAGAGAGGTCTTTGAAAAGCAAAGAAAGAAAGAAATATCATTTGTACATCACAATGACTTTGTAGGGATGTCAGTAAATGGCCTGAGCAGTGTCACTTGGAGAGTCATACACTTTTCAGAAAAGTCAGAAGTTTCATAGGTTCTTCTAGAGGCTCCAACAGTGCTTTAAAGAGGATTCAGCTGTAGGCAACCTTGACCACCTTGTGGTCTTCTGCACAGCTTGGCTTTTAGTTAACTATATTTTAGCTCACTTTAGGGTAATTTTAAGTAAATGTAACAATAGAAGGTAAGCTTTTTGTAGGTGCACAAATGATGAGAGATGTTTTTTGAGTCTAATAAAAGTATTAGTAAGTAGTATAATAGACTTCCAATTCATGTGTATAAAGATAGATAGATACTGTAGATAGATAGATAGATAGATAGATAGATAGATAGATAGATAGATAGATAGATCAATTGATCATGGTCTAACACAGTGGTGAGGAGTCTAATAAATAGTTGTGAAATATCCTCCACTATTTACATCATTCAGAGAATGAATTACATCAGACCCTAGTGCCGTTCTAAGGTGCAACAATGTGGGATCTTTGCACAACATGAGACATCTACAATGATCAAAATCACATTGTATATTCTGTGAAAAATTTTCTAGATGTGTGTTTTATTGAACAGGAGAAAGTTAATGGACTAAGCATATGTACAATTCATGGGGGGGCATCATGCGGTGTTCCAGTCCTCCATATATGTAGTATATACAATAGGCAAAAATTATACTATACTATATGCATTTTTCGAGGTTTGGGAATAATAACAAGGGGACATTCACCCAGTGAAAAAGAATAAATCTAGAATTTAGTCACTCAATGTAATATTTTATGATCCTATATTTCTCCATGTTATATTGGTAAGGGTGTGAATAGGCAGACTCAAATGCAAATTATTAAATATGGGACCACTAATGCAAAAAAGGCTTGTATACTGTATAAGTAAAGCAATATAGAAAACTATAATCAACCGTTCGTATTATATTTTAGATTTAAAGAAAAATATGAAAAATATTTATTACGAAAAACAAAAAAAAAAACGTAATTAATTTGTATAAACCCTCTGTAACCCTCACATTTTAAAACCATTTAAAATAACCTGGGTGCACATGAGATTACTACATACATTGGTAAGGTTATAGACTATTTAACCATTGTTGAACATCTTCATAGTTATAATGGATCCTTTATCCAAATAAGCTATATATCCAAGTCAGGTGTTACTTGAAGGGCTAATGAGCTGTATACAAGGTCTGTGAACATACAAAATATTCA